TGGCTCAGCAGGAACCTCTCATTAGCATGGCCAACTTCCCTGTCTTGCAGGGAACTCCCCTAGTCAGAGCCAACTGTAAGCATTGTGGGGGAGCCTGTACCTGACTGCACTCCCCTGCCAAACAGCTGATTAGGGAAGAAACAAAGTCCCAGCTGCTTAGCAGAGAGAGGTAGATGAGCCAGAGACAAGTTACTTAGGGCACAGACTGCCTTTGGCAGCCATTAAGAGATGTGGAGAGAAGGAAGGCGCAGCTTCAAGCACAAGTAAGATATAGAAGAAAAAAAAAAGTATCCTAGGGAAACCACAGTGTATTTTTGGCCAGGACCATTTAAACACACAGAAAATCTACAAATGTTGTTCTTTCCTGGAAGTTTCCTAGGGAACCAGCTCATACTACGTAAAAGATTAAATTTGTCCCTGAGTTTCTCAAAAGAAAAATACTGTATCAATTAAGAGTTTGACTCAGATTGCAAAGAAACAAAATGTTTAAAGAAAACCTTTAAATTACTGACTGAATGAAGAATATACAAAGAAGTATGCATGTATCAATAATCTCTTTAAAAGATGACCTATCAATGCATGTACCAGGAAAGGTGGGCATCTTTTACAGGTGGGTACAAAATCAACACAATTTTATTAAAGATGTTATTTTGTTTTTCAGATTCTTCATTTTTCAGATTCTTCAAGTTAGTTTTCACTCAGAAATGGGCCCCTCCTCCATGCTTCTAAACATGAGAAACATATTAGGTATAGTTCTTTTTTTCCCCTCTAGACTTATGATTTCACTGGTGAAGGTAATTTTGAATGAAAGGAATCTCTCTACCAATGGAGATAGGACCTTTTCTGCAACTGCCTCAGAGAGTTGCTTAGGGCAATTAGATATTAGGTACTTACATAGATAGGGTCACATAGCCAGCAAGATCCCCCTTGAAGAGTATAGGAAATTTGAATTTAATATACCTTAACAGTAACATTCAATCAATGAAGGACCTGTTATTTAGTCAGCCTGGAGAACTTCCTCCCCCAAAGCAGATCTCAACTCACCTATGACTTAGTAGATATGTCCCACCTCAGGAGTTGCCCAGTTAATAAGTAAATATAAGTGTGAGAGACAAGAGGCAGTTAGGTGGTGTAGTGGATAGAGTGCTGGGCCTGAAGTCAGGAAGACTCATCTTCCTGAGTTTAAATCTGGCCTCAGATACTAGCTGTGTGAGCCTGGACAAGTCACTTGACCTTGTTTGCTTCAGTTTCCTCATCTGTAAAAGGAGCTGGAGAAGGAAATGAGAAACTACTCTAGTATCTTTGCCAAGAAAACCCCAAATGGGGTCATGAGGAGTCAGACATGATTGAAACAACTCAACAACACAAAAGACAAGATTTGAACTTGGGTCTTTTTGGCTCCAGGCCCTAGTGTTCAATCCATTAAGTTGCCTGCAGTATAATAGAAATAATACTAATAATACATAACACTCACACAGCTACGTGTGACAGCTGTATGCATGCACATACATATATGTGCATGTATATATGTAAATGTATGTATATACTCTTATTGGACTCTATTCTCAGCACTATCAGAAAGTAATTTAGACACCTATGGAAGCAACCTAGCTGTAATACACTAAGTGGTATGTATACTAACAGCCTTAAAGGAGTTAATACATCTTCCTAAATGCCTAATTGACTAAGAAAGGATAATAGCAGCAGCGGGAGAAAGAAAGCTCATGAATTCTCATAGTATCCTTTTGAGATTACTTACTCACATTTTTATTTCCATTTTATATATGGGGGCAATAATGTGGGCAAGTTACCCAAGGAGTTTTCCAATCACTTGATATTTGTGCTACAAATAGAGACAGGATTCAAGTTTCTAGATTCGCCGTGTAATACCTTATTTTGCTAAAATTATTTCTACTCTTGTCCCTCTCAGGAATATACAAAAAATATACACTGTTACAAATGCTTAGGTCTTTTCAAAAGCATTCTATACCAGGAAAAACAGTACTCATATCCAACATCAAGCATAAACGGGGTGGGGGACAATAAGGACAGGACCCAATTAATAATGTGCTAAAGAAGTACATTCAAATCTTTATTTTTTAATCATTGACTGTGTGTAGAACATTGTGTTATGTAGGCAAGGCGCAAATCCTTGCTATCAGACCTATCAACCGGAAAGATAAAAAATATTTAAGTTATATTACTCTATCCACAGAGATCTATCAAATAATTTATTGTTATAGTTAATAAGGAAGGAGTGTGGTTCAATGCAAAGAATACTAACTCTAGAATTAGAGGTCAAATTGTGTCTCTGATGTTTACTTTTTGTGTCACCTTGAGCAGGTGACTTCACTTCCCTGGGCCTCAGTTTCCTCCTTTGTAAAAATGAGGGGGTTGGATTAGATGCCACTAAGGTCAAGTCAAATCAACAAGAATATATTAAGCACATACTATGTGCCAGGTACTGTGCTAAGTGCTGGGGATACAAAGAAATGCAAATATGATCCCTCCTTTTTTGGAGCTACTAAATCTTCAAACTGTCCTAAGACTTTTAGAACAATGGGCAGACAATGTGCAAATAACTATAAAATATATACAGGATAAACTGTAGATAATCAACAGAGAGGAAAGCATTACATTAAGAGGGGATTGGGAAAGGCTTCCTGTAGAAAGGATTTTAACTGAGACAAAAAGGAAAATTAGATTTGAAGGAACTCAATAAAACTAGGAGATAAAGAGGAGGAAGAGAATTCCAAGCATGAGGGACAGCCACTAAAAAAATGCAGAGTCAGGAGTCAGTCTCTTTTAGCTCAAAATCTATGATCCTCTAATCCTGGGATTTATATAGCACTTTAAAGTTTGCAAGGCTCTTTAAATATATTATTTCATCTGATCATCATAACGACCTTGTGGGGTACTATGGGTAGCATTCTCCTCCTTTTACAAATAAGATAGCACTCAGAGTGAAGTGGTTTGCCCACAGTCAAACATGGGGAAAATGCTTGAGGCAGGTGGTTTTATGAATGTGACATAAATATCAGCTGATTTTCTAATCTAGTGCTTAAATGAGACATCATGTCCATGAATATTTACTTTCTTTCATGTTATACTGTTTTCATTTGCAGTTAGCAAATTCTGGGAAGTCTTTTTTTTAATTAAATTTTATTTTTTCCATTCAACAAAAGTCAATTTTTTTCTCCCTCTATTTCTTCATTATTGTGGGGGTGGGAAGGGAGAAAAGAGAGGACCCTTGTAACAAATCTGTATAGTCAAGCAAAACAAATGGCTACACTGACTATGTCCAGAAAATGTCTCCTTCTGCATTGATAATCTATCATCTCTTTGTCAGGAGTGGCATAGCATGCCTCATCATTGAGCCTTGGGAATCAGTGTTGGTCACTGCACTAATCAGAGTTCTCAAGTCTTTCAAAGTTGCTTCCTTTTACAGTGTTGCTGTCGTTGCATAAATTGTTTTCTTGTTCTACTCACTTCTCTCTGCATCAGTTCATGAGTCCTGTGAAATTGCTCTTAGTCTGCCTACACTCAATGCAGCCCAGGCCAGCCAATGATGAGTGAGGAATTCCAATTAGCCTCATTGTATGAGGAGACTTTCTCCATTTGCTCCTTTAGTAAATTTTTGTTAGTTTTTCTTGTTTCTTACATGTTGGCTAAGGTTAGTCAGTCAATAGTCAGTCAATAACCATTTATTATGCTCCTACCATATGCTGGGCACTATGCTAAACTGTAGATTGTAAAATCAGTAAGCCGGGGAAGCCATCTTTCTGACAACAATATAATGCAAATGATACTTGCATTATAGAAATAATAATATAATAATATAATGCAAACAATATAATACAAAGTAATAACATTAAATATGACATGGTATGAAAGTATGCTACAGCAAGACTCATCAAATTTTGAGAAAGGCTGCCAATCAAATTAGAATATTCTGCAGACAGCTGATAAGCAGCTGGGGACAAGGGGGAGAAATGATTGGGTCTAAGCAGTGCACTTATTAATTTATTTTTTTCATCCACTCCACGAAAACTACCAACACCACCACCCAAAATCTTTGGGTTCAATGAGAGTGAATTAAAATGCCCACAAACGGGGAGAGCTGAGTTGTAGAAACCTCAGACCTATGGCCTGTGGGTAACCACGCCTGATCAGTTTCCTTAGCCCAGATGCAAGCAGGATTCAGTAGTCATCAACTGTGGAATGACAACAAAATTTTCCCATGCTTTAGGTCAGAATGTGATAGAGCTACATGAAGGTAATGTAGAATGGAAAAAAATCCACACCTAGTGCAAGTCAGACTCATCCCTTATTGTTGCCCCCCCCAACTCCGTACCACCCCCACCTTCCCACACACTCTGGGCATCCCTGGGGTTGAGCTACTGTTCAAGGGTTTCATCTCACCTGGAATGCTTTCCTCTCTCCTCTCAGCCTATCTGAATCCCTTAAGACCTTGTTTGAGTATCACTTCTTTTGTGAAGCCTTCCCTGACAACTCCAGCTCATAATGTCTCCCTCCTCACAACTCCTACTACACTATTTACATGGCACAGCTTCACACAGCATAATATACCATATTGTTCCATAATCATAAATTTTGTCTCTCCAATAAGCTTATAACTGGTTGAAGAAAGCATGAGGCTTTGTGTGTATGTATATTTATAATATATACAAAAAATAAGTGGCAGTACTTTACTATTTTATACATTTTAAGAAAAGGATTATCCTTAAACACTGAGGTTTAGTAACTTAACAATTGTAAAAATCCAGAAAGAGATCCTAGAAACCTACATGCCAATATGATGAACATTACTAGTGATAACCAGATCAATTAAGGGAGGTCATGGATACATTGCCTAAATATTAAAGGGTAACAGGTATAATTTAGTCTTCTTGTTTTTATGTATTAATGATGCCAATATTTTTGTTTAAAAAAGAAAGAAAACGCCAAGACAAATATACAACATGAATAATGGTATTTACCTGCAATGAAGAAGTGAATGGTAACCAAATGTGATGTAAATTCTTCTCTTTGAAATATGAGCTTGAGTGCTATATCTGAAACAAAGAAACAAAAAAGATTGTTATCACTTTTGGTTTAATAAAGTGTGTATATATTTGGCAAAATATTCAAAAATTTGTCAGAACTTTGGAGGAAGTTAATTTTGCAGGCTATCAAATAAGCAAAAATAATGGTTTTCTTCTTTATCATTTAACTTTCTACTCAGACTCCTCAGCAGCCAAAATGTGTTTTTCCTGTCATTTTTACCAGTTGGCCCTAACTCTGTCTTTTGGAGTCAAGCAAGTCTAATTCCTCTTCCATAACAGAATCATTGATGAAAAACTGCACAGGGGAAGTAGTACAAAGATGATTAAAGAAATAAACAGAAAAATAGGCTGGGTGGTCATGCAGCAAAACCAAAGGATAATAAATGAGTAGCCCATTCATTCCCCTGTGAGGAGATCTAGAAGGAAACAGCAAATCCAGTGCTCTGTGAAATAAGAGATAAGAAGGCCTGGATGGAACAATCAATACTATTGGTATACAATAGTTCTCCCTCACAAAGATGAGCTCACAGGTCCATTAAAAAACAAAACAAAACAGAGAATTTGAAGACTACCATGTTCCCTATAAGTTTTCTCAAGGCTAAACATAGCCAGTTCCTTTAACCAATCCACACATGGTATGGTCTAAAATTTATCCTGGTTACCCTCCTCCAGATTAATTCTAACTCATCATTAGAATTGGACATGATACTCCACTGGTGGGCTAACCAATGCGAGAGGACTTTCACTCCCTTCATTGTGCTCATTATGCTTTCGTTGACAGAGTCATAATCTCTTCACTTTTATCCTGGTATCCCTAAGCAGTTGGCACAGTACCTTGAGCTAGTAGACCCTTAATGAAATTCTTGTTGAATTTAATGGGAAAAGTCAATGTGAAATGCCTGGCATTTGAGACCTATCATAACCTGGTAGAAACGGCCTCACATACTACTAGGCTTATACTCCTCCGATATATCTATCATAAGATATGGTGATATTTTCATTTTTTAAAATTGAATTTGGCTATTTGTGTATAAGCCACAGTTCTTCATTAGATTATAAACTCCTTGAGGGAGAGGACATATTATCTAAACTTTATCTCTTTAATATCCACTCTACATGTGAAGGATAGAGGTGTTTGGGGGACATTGAGGGAGGAAAAAAGAAATAATCAGAAGTGGTTGCTAGGTGACAAGAGGTAGAGTTCATCAATGGCAAGTGTAATGGTACAAGGTCATCCCAAGACTTTTCTGCTCAGGCCAGAGAAAGGAACAAATGATAAGAGAATATACTGATACCAAGATTAGCATAGAGGTCAGCATTAATTCAGGCCTATTTCTTAAACTCTATCCTCATGTACCTCTCTGTTCCAATCTGACCTACTAGCAGTTCCCTACACATGACACTTCACTTCCTGAGATTTTGCAAAGGATATCCCCCCCATCCTCAGAATATATTCTCTGCTCACTTGTCTCTTAGAATCCCCGGTTTCCTTCAAAAGGGATAACACAGGTGGTATAATGGATAAAGTGCTGGACCTGTAGTGATGAAACCCTGAGTTCAAATCTAGCCTCAGACACTTACTAGCCATGTAATCTTGGACCAGTAACTTACCTCTGTCTGCCTTAGTTTCCTCATGTGTAAAATGGGAATAATAATACTACCTACCTCCTGGGATTGTAAAGAAGATAACATGAGATAATATTTGTAAAGTACTTTTCAAATCTCAAAGTGCTTTATGATTGCTAGCTATTATTACTAATATTCACGGCTTAATGACTTTCTATATGAAACCCTTCACAATCCCACCAGCTGCTAGTTCACTGATTCTCAAAATTATCTTCTATTCATCAGGTACATTTTAAGTATACATTTCTACATATACATGTTGTCTCTCCCATTACAATGTAAGCTTTTTGAGGGTAGGGGCTATTCAACTTTGTCTTTGTATCCACAGAGTCTGGCACATAGTAGATGCCTAATAAATGCCTGTTAAATCAATTATTGATTGAATATATAAAACCAAGAACCAGTAAGCAAAAACTGGCCAAAAGATCAGCAAACAATTCTCAAGACAACTGCAAACAATAAACAGCCATATGGAAGTTTGCTATCAATCACTCATAAGTGAAATTCAAATAAACACAAATCTAAAGTTTCATCTCATGCTCAGAAAATTGGCAAAGATTACAAATGATGAGACTAGTCAATAATGGAGGAATGATAAAAAAACAAAACAAAACAAACAACAACAAAAAATCCCAAACCAAAACAAAACCTTGGGCATACTTTGTCCACTGCTGAAGCTGTGAATTAGTCTAACCATTCTGAAAATCAATTTGGAATCATGCTAAGAAAGTGGCTAAAATGTCCACATCACTGACTCAGAGGTTCTACTGCTAGGAATATACGTCAGGGAGATCCATGAGCCTCCACATACACTATTATATTTATAGTAGCCCTGTTTGTATTAGCAGAGAATTGCAAACAAAGTAGATGCCCATTGACTAGAGAATAACTAAATAAACTGTAGTACTTAGTAATTTGGTAATATGTGAGGCCAAATATGAAGAATTCAGGGAATGAATGAAAAATCAGTTAAGTGTTTACCATGTACCAAACACTGTGTGCTAAGCATGAAGGACCCAAAGAGAAAGGAACAAAAAATTGACAAAAAAACCCAAACAAGCCGGGCAGTCCCTTCTCTCAAGGAGCTCCCACTCTCTAACTGGGGGAGACAATACATAAAAGAAAATTCAGCAGTAGGGCTTGGAAATCTGAATGATTGCTTAGCAATGGGGCAGCAATGGAGCAAGACTGTGGCACCTTCACGATTTACGGATTTACATTATATCCTAGCGGCAAAAGGGAGTCACTACTTTTTTTAGCAGGTAATTATGAGCTGATTACTTTATTCTTATTTGGGGGGCGGGAAAGTGGAGGGGGGGGGTCTAAAGGGCAGAGAGGCAGGGCAGATGGTAAACCTGAAGAGGAAGTGGTAGGAAAGATGGGTAGGGCCTAGTGGTCATCTGATTCATGAGCAGGAATAGAGCTGGTGAATCCAATCTCATTGAAGCCATGTGAGCATTTAAGCAAGCCTATCTGTATGTTTTGGGTGGCGGGGATAGGGCGAGGTAAGAAGGCATGGGAAGCATAAGATTTTTAAGAATTAGGGCATGAAATATACAGAACAGGGAGAGAAAAGATAATGTCTGCAACAATGTAAATGGAAAAAACAAACAAAACCAGAAATATCCCAAAACTGAATGTTGTATAAGTATATTGACCAAGATAGACCCAGGAGAAGACATGAGAAAATGCACCTGACCTTTCTCTCCTTAAATGGGAGAAGTATGAGTGCGAAATATTACATGTATAGTCAAACTCGGTCATTTACTCTTGATCTTTTTTTTTTTTAACATTTTTTTATTTAAAGTTTTGAGTTCCAAATTTTTTTGGGGGGGGGGGGCTACGCAATGGGGTTAAGTGACTTGCCCAGGGTCACACAGCTAGTGTCAAGTGTTTGGTCTGAGGCCGGATTTGAACTCAGGTCCTCCTGCCTTCAGAGCCGGTGCTCCATCCACTGGGCCACCTAGCTGCCCCTACTCTTGATCTTGTTAAATGGAATTCAACAACCTGTTCAGATTTTAAAAGGGGGTAGGAGTGGAGCAGGAAGCCAAGTGTGAGATTATGTACTGGAAGAATGAAAAAAAAAAAAAGATTTGGTTTTCACATATTAACAATGGTGCTGAAGGTGGCCACTGGTTTAGAGTAATGTTTTTCCCCCAAACAAAGATTAAAACTAAACAGAAGTGACAAACAACACAAATAATACTTTTTCCACTTTATCAGCAGCTGGTTTCAACTCACGCAGCTAGAATAGACAAGCACCTATATGTATCCTACCCTAATGCAGAGAAATAGAGTCTGGTAGTTTTCAAATTAGATATAACACTTCTACATTACAATTCAAAACTACCAGTTCAGGTGCCCATCTTTGTAACTGACCCACAATTAACAGATAAGTCAGGGTTTGTTACTCTGGCTTCCCATCCATGTGACAGCACAATGCTCACTTAATGAGAGCAACAACAGACAGTAATGGCTCATTACGGAGCTATTGTAGCATTCACTAGACATATAACTCTCTTAATGACTAGGACACCCTTGGCTACTTTAAAAAAGAAAATAAAAAAAAAACTCTGGGATTTTCTAATAATTATTACCATCCTTTATGATTTTGTGAAAAACATTTCAGAGCAACTAAGTAATTAAATCACAGCAGCTCAATGTGGGGGGGGGGACAGGAATGTAACAAAATTTGCATCTCTGTATAAGGCAGCTAGGTGGCACATTAGAAGATAGAATCTGGAATCAGGGTGACCTGAGTTCAAATCCCGCTTAGCACACTAAATGATATAACCCCTGGATGCCTCAGTTCCTCATCTGTAAAACGGGGATAATAATAGCAACTACCTCCCAGGATTGTTGTAAGTAAAAACTGAGATATCTGTAAAGCATTTTGCAATCCTTAAAGCAATATATAAATACTAGGTATTACTAGGTATATTATAATTATTATCACTAACCTATAATAATATATTATTATTGTTATTATCACTAACCTCAGATACAATATATGGTGCAAAATACAGTACGTATATAAAGATTTCTTCCTGTTGCAAAGTCAAACAATCTCTTCAGAGCTTTCTCATCAGATAAAAAAATTGGGGGGAGTGGCAGGGGGTCTATCTACCTGACAGTTATAAAATTCTCTGATGATATAATTATGGTCAGCAGGAAAGTAAGATTCAAAATTTCACCTTTTATACAACAATAACTCACATTTCTATTTAATATATACAAATTATTTTGATTCAATTGGATAAATTTTTACTATGTGCCTAATACGTGCAAAGCACTAACCATGCTAGGTCCTGTATAGGACATAAATGACATAAGACATAAATGAAACAATGCCTGCCCTCAAGGGAAGACGTAAGATGTACACA